GACTAGCGGTTGTCGTCTGACACACGGTCCTCGGGATAAAGGCGGGGCAGGGCAAATGTTAAATAACAACAAATTGAGTTTAAATATACGAGAATTGGCATGTATTAAGTCTTACATGCACAACAAATTAATTATATCAATCAGTACACAAGTTACAGGGGGGGGGAAGGGGAACACCGACTGGCCTGTACTGCTACGAAGTGGGCTGGACTTGACGGCTGATGGCTGAACTGCTGATGGAACGCTGAGCTGCTGATCTTCTCGTGAAGTGGTGACACGAACGTGTGTACCGGTGGCGTTGTGCTGCTTTCACTGCGGGTGTGCACCTAAACGCAGGGCAGCGGGCTGACGACTACAGCCAATCTCCTCGTGGAGCGACGGACGATGAACTATTGTAATAGTTGAACGTAGAATAACGGACTGTATAGCGACAGTAACACGGCGTAGAACAACGAAGCGCTAAGTATTGCAATGTAACGCGACAAGATGGCCGATGAACAAACGGCAACGGAAAATAGCACTCACGAGCACGTGGTTTTAGCGCGGACGGAACAGACGAGCAAGTAGGTACACGTTGAGCTAGAGCAAGCAACGACCAGAGCAAAAGTGATGAGACCGCACGGATACGCCGGCGTCGAACCCGGTAACGGCTACCGTGACAGTCTAGCCAACATAGCGGTTGACGGTAAACAGCGCGACCACCGACGGCGGCAGCTGGTTATCAAACGGATCGAACATACTCCCCCTTGCAAGTTCAGTGAACTTGCAACAGACTTCGATCAACCATGATGTAGGTGGCCGAGCAAATGACCACTTGAACAGTGCAGTTGAGCTGGTGGACGGAGTAGTTGAATGAGCAGACGAATGGAGCAGTTGAACGGAGCAGTTGAATGAGCAGTTGAATGAGCAGTTGAATGAGCAGTTGAATGAGCAGTTGAATGGAGCAGTTGACAGACCAGAGCGATGATCGGGTTTTTTTTTACAAAGGGGCAACATCATTAACAGTCTTTTTTTGCAACGAAATAAATTAATTTAATAACATTACCAATGGCTAGAGCAATAGCTGAACCAGCATTACAATATTTAACAATAGGAACAAAAGTTAATTAGTATCACAAACAAAGTCTTTAGTTACATTTTTTTTTTCAAATATACAAATATTATAACAGATTAATACCTGAAAATATAACAAAAAACAAACAATAAAAAATACCATACCTCACCTGGTACCCGAGGCAGAACAGCCGACGAAACATCCAGCAGCATGCGTGGTGATGGTTGGTAAGAAAATGAATTATTTACATAATGAGCGTAGCAATAACATACAAATATAAAGTGCAAATGGATACAGGAAACAGGGACTAAGGGGAGTCTCAATATCTACGGATCTGTGGGGAGAGGTACTAGTTTCACCACTGGTCTAGTGAACACCCCCTGTTTGGTAATAACCTTAGCTACCCGTACCACCTTGTCGGTTCCTGGATACACCTCAATGACCCTTCCTAATGGCCACGATAGCGGAGGCGCATCATTAACCTTGACGATGACCATAGTACCAACTTCGAGATTGATATCAGTCTTCGTCCACCTACCACGAGCTTGGAGGGTGTTCAAATACTCCCGAGACCAACGTCGCCAAAAGAATTGGAAGGACTGCTGGAGGAGCTTCCAGCGAGTCCGCAGTCCAACTTGTGCGCTGGTACTAACAGGTTCTGGGACTGACAACAAAGGGCGACCAATTAAAAAATGACCGGGCGTTAAACATTCCAGATCATTTGGGTCAGATGATGCTGGTATTAGGGGACGCGAGTTCAGAGCAGCCTCTACCCTACACAACACCGTTGTAAACTCTTCTAAAGTCCAAATTTGGGAATTCATTGCTCGAACAAGCAATGACTTCGCCGACTTAACGGCGGCTTCCCAAATTCCTCCAAAATGGGGAGCACCAGGAGGGTTGAAGTGCCATTCACACGCAATATGACCTAAGAACTGATCCCTACTGTCCGGACTATTGAACAATTGACGCAGCTGCCTCGCCGCACCAACGAAATTGGTGCCACAATCCGAATAGATGGACGACGGTAGGCCACGGCGACCTACGAATCTATCCAGGGTTAACAAGAAGGCTTCCGTCGAGAGGGCAGACACTGGTTCTAGGTGCACCGCTTTGGTGGTCATACAAACAAAAACAGCGATGTAAACCTTAACGATGCGCGCCTTCCGCAGACTGAGCTCCTTCATTTGCAAGGGCCCTGCGTAATCTATGCCGACTATTGAAAACGGGTGGGCTTCCCGGACCCGGAACCCTGGCAGAGCAGCCATGATGGGTTGTGGATGATCAGCCGACATTTTTGCACATAACACGCATTTTCGAATCACCCGATGAACTATCAGGCGAATGCCAATGACCCAAAATCGTTGTTGTACAAGAGCGATGAGCAAACGCGGTCGAGCGTGACACGCGTAGAGATGCCAATGTCGTGTGATCAGAACGGCTAAATGAGACACTTTCGGAACTAACATAGGATGCTTTCGCTTCTCCGACCAATTGGAGTTTTGCATTCGTCCGCCAACGCGGATTATACCATCTGAATCCAAGAACGGGCACAGACGAGCTAGCGCCTTGGACTGGACCGGGCTCCCCCGACGCAGGCCGTCTACTAGCTGGCTCAAATAACAATTCTGAGCACTCCTAACGATCACGAGCGTAGCTTCGTCTAATTCAGATTGTTTCAGAAAACCTAACTCGACCTTTCTCCTTAGACACAACCGGATGAACCGACGTACCTGAGCTAGTACGCGAATCATCTGGTGAAAGGAGGAGAACCGAATAAAGCATTCGACTGGAGGATCTTCACAAGTCAATAAACACACTGGTTTTACTTCCGGCAGCTCTTCCAACTCTAATTGTGGAATTTCCTGAGACCAAGCTTCGACTGGAGATTGCAAGAAGGTCGGACCCCGCCAATAGAGCTTGCATCGCCTAAGCTCGTCAGGGAGGAGACCTCGAGACGCGCAGTCAGCCGGATTATCCTCAGATCGCACATGTTGCCAGCGGCAACCGGGAACTGCGGACTGGATCTGATATATCCGGTTGGACACGAACGTCTTGAACGATGTATGCGGGATGTTCAACCACGATAAAACTATGGACGAGTCAGACCACGCGAAGACATCAGAAATTCCCAACTGGAACTCCAAAATACGCTTGAGCCTGGCCAACCATGATGCAAGGAGCAATGCACCACTTAGCTCCAGACGTGGTGTTGTCATGGTCTTCATTGGTGCTAACTTGGTTTTGGCGCCCAGGAGGTATGTGGCCGTAGCTCCGGACGGATCAGTCACGCGGAGATACGCTACAGCCGCATATCCTTTCTCGGAGGCGTCACAAAAACCGCAGAGAATGTAACTACAACCAGTGTAGCAACCGATGTAGCGTGGAATCTGGATGTCCACCAGCCAACCTAGTGAATGGTAGAAGTGGCACCAATCATCCGCGATATCCGATGGAATCCGACTGTCCCAACCAACCTGTGAGAGCCACAGACGTTGCATGATGGTTTTGGCATAAAATATCGTTGGTGACAGCATACCTAGCGGATCAAAAATCCTGGCGATCATAGACAGCACACCTCGTTTTGTCAGAACCAATTTAAAGTTGTTGACGGTAAACGAAAAATAGTCCAAATCATGATTCCACAACATGCCTAACAAATGCGTGGCATTATTCTGTTCAGAACGATCTTCCGGAAGCAGATGGTCCAGCAACTCCGGTGAATTACTAGCCCATTTTCTCAGTTGTAGGCCGGATCTGGCAAGAGTCTTGATCAGGTTAGACTGCAGCGCTTTAGCAGCTTCCAAGGACTCTGCGCCAACACATATGTCATCCCTCCATTATTCCAAGCACTTCCACGTGGTTACAAGTTATATATATAAATTATTTCATTACATTCAATTATTACATGTTTACATAATATGTTCGTTACAGATATTTAGTTATATTATTGAATTATATGGTACATTCCATCATATTTTTCTGTTTATATTTATTAAATATTATTGACAAAATACAGATTACAATCCACAATATTACAATATATATTTTACTTATTATCTAGGTTAGTACCTTATGTGATTAACAATATATTTTTTTCGTTTTTGTTTTACAACAATAATCTTATCTTAGTGTTAATATAATATAAATTAATCCTTTAATATAATATGAATTCTTAAAATCTATTACAATATATTTTTTTTCCGTGCAATATATATATATGATAAAATAGTGGTGTACTGGTGTGTTATATACTTTTTTCCATTACCATGTTAATTATATTTTAAATAAATTAGATTAATATATTTCTTTTCCCATCACCATGTTAATTAATTCCAATATAATATGCTAATATGTTCCTTTATGTATTTGTATATTATTCTATAAAAAATTTAATCCTAAATTTTCCTTCTTTTTTTCATTATTTTTTCCCTACGTTTACGTTTGTTCCTATATATATATTTTCCATTAATCGTTATATTATTATATTTTATATCTAGTTAATATTACTATTCCTATACTGTGATTTGATTATATCTTTTTACTACAGGCCCAGATCAGCAATAAACTATTGTATTCAAGTTCTATTACATGATCAAGACTAGCGTTAAATCGATTCTATTTTATTCTATTTCCGTAATGGTTCTACCTTGCTAATTGAACCCGTGACGCAAGAGTGTGCGGTAAATCAAAGCATCTTCCCGCGACACTGGCTAAACTAACAAGATCTTGTCCTTGTAATTTCTTATTGAGATTTATTAAGGGCATTTGGTCTTTTGGTGATCCCGCTAAAAAAATCTGTTATACACACGATTTTTGAACCAACCACCAAACGATCAAATTCCAACATTTTCCTTAAGTTGTCAAACCGTTCGGTATATAATAGTGCAACATTTATCTATCTCCAACAATAATAGATTAAATATGTCCCTATTATGTACCGTTCGATTTCTAATCGAATATTTTTCCCGTTCTATTCTGAAATTAATTTATTTAGATTACTATTTTTCATTAGTTCATTATTAGTATCTAGCGTTATCTTGTTTTTTTTTTCTTAAATTTACTTTAGTGTGTTAATTAAGCTATTTGTTATTTGCTATAATAAAAATAAAAATTCGTTAAAATTATATTTCACAACGTGGTTCTATGTACGTGGTATTGTCTATAATGGTTGGAATTGCTTTACCAAATTTTGATACCCATATTCCCTAACCATTTTGTTGAATATGCACTTTGTAAATCTCACATCGGTTTTTGGATCGTGAGCATACGTTATTTTGTGTTTATGTGTACATATGCCGCTATGTGCTTCCGTTAAATTTAATAGCCTACCATATAAATACGGTCGAAATGTTTTTACACCGAATATAATCGCCAAACATTCCAGTTCCGTTGCCGAATAATTACATTCCGCCCTATTTAAAGTTCTAGAACTGTAAGCTATTGGCAAATCCGATCCTATTTTACCTTGAGATAATATTGCACCTAGCGCCCTACCGCTAGCGTCTGTCGTAAGTATAAATTGTTTCGTAAAATCTGGATATTGTAGAATTGGTTCTGAACACAATATTTCCTTTAATTTATCGAAAGCTTTTTGACAATTTTCGTCCCAATTAAATTTTACGTCTTTTCTTAATAATTTCACTATTGGGTTAGCACTATAATTTTCTATGAATTTTCTATAATACCCACTAAGTCCTAAAAAACTTTTTATTTGCTTAACATTTTTAGGAACCGGAAAATCCTTTACAGCTTTAACTTTTGCTTGGTCCGGTTTTATTCCTTCGTCACTAATTACATGACCTAAAAATAAACATTCCCGTTATAAAAAACTACATTTGTCCGGTTCTATTTTTAGATTGTGTATACGTAATCTCTCGAATACGTCTATTATTTTTTCATTGTGGTCTTGTAAATTTTTAGCATACACTATTATGTCATCCAG